TGCACAGTGAGGGTCTCTGTGCGGGCACAGCCCCACTGGCCCAGTACTGGGCCCCGAATTTCCCTTCTCCAGGAGCAGCAACTCTTGCTGTGGGCCACGGTGGAGCAGCTGCGTCCAAAGCACCAGCACGTCCCACAGCCCCCACCCCGGTGGGTGCAGAGGGTATGGGGTGGCTGCAGACCCCTTGTCCTTGGTTGATGATTCCCATCCCAGGGGGGTTTCTATGCCTGGAAAACAAAACCACATCCCAGTCCACAGTTGCTGAATTACAGCATCAATAAAGCAGCTGATGCCATCCCCCTCCCCGAGCACACTGCTACCTGTCTCTCTGTCCCTGCAACCACATGCCCATCCTGCACCCACATTCCTGCCATCCTTTATGGATGTGGGGGGCATATGCAGCCCTGGCACAGTGCAGGTGTCTCCTGGTGGTCACAGCAATATCCCAGTGAGTCTGATGTGGCTGCTTGGGGAAGCTGGGGCAGCCCCACATCTGGAATATGCATCTGCCTCACCCCAAAGGCTCATCTCGAACCCAGAATAAATGTCTCCAACACCCCAAAGGCTCATATCAAATCCAGGCTGAGCATCTCTGTCCCCAAAGACACAGAAGCAGTGGGCCAGCCAGGGCAGAGGTGGCAGCAATTTTGCCCTCAAAGCTGGAATTTGCCCTTTCTATTACATAAGGATGAAGGGTACAGCATGTCCTTCCCCACCCTCGTGGCACCTCTTGGGCACAGAGTGAATTTAAAACTGCTAATTTAATTTTGAGTTGCAATTAAGGAAGAAATGGGGCTTTTCTGGAGCAAGTGCTGGCTGAGAGCCCATTTCTCCAGCCCTATTAACCTCAAATAAGCACTCAGTGGAGGAGAGGCCGTGTGTGCTGTGAGGGATAAGGACACGGGGCAGTGCCAGCCCTCGGGTCACAGCTGCAGGTGAATTAAAAGTCTTTCAAAGTCACATCCCAAGCCTTTGAATGCTCCCATGACCACACTGAGCTTCGTGCCTCCAAAAAGGGTTTTCATGGAGCTCCAAGGTCCTCCAGCTGCTTAAGCATGGCCAGGACATCACTCCAGGAGCAGGTTTGGTCATGTGTGAGCAAAGATGCCCCCAAAATGTTCCCAGATGAACTAGTTACAAAATCTCCTCATCATTGTAACATCTGTCCCAGGCTGGGATGAAGCTCTGGGCTCTCCCAGTGTCCAGTTTGGCCCGTAACGGGAGAGGGGACTTGGGGGGTTACATTGCTCCTGGGGATGACCCTTTCCCAAATGTCCTCAGATGTGGGAAGGGCCAGGCTCATGCTCTGGCATGGGTTCAGGGGATGATGTTTTGCAACCATTCTCCCCAAAGTTCAAGAAGTGTCTGGACAATGCTCTCAGGCACCTGGTGTGATTCTTGGGGTGTTCTGCACAGGGCCAGGAGCTGGGACTCGATGACCCTGATGGGTCCCTTCCAACTCAACATATTCTGTGATTTTATGAAAACCAGCTCCTGCAGCCTGCCTGGTTGGTGCCGGGGGTCACAGGGCTGGGGCAGCTCTGCTCCTGCAGGTGATGGTGGTGGCAACCCTGGGCACTGCTGAGGCCAGTCCCCAGGCACATGGTCCCACCAGCCCCATCCTGCCCCAGAGGCTGCACAACAGGAGCAGTTCCCCACGGACACGGGCAGCGGGAGGATCCGGTCCCAGCGTGGGGCCAGAGCTGTGCTGGGCGATGCAGCACCAACAGGCCAGGCTAGAAGGAGGTGGTTGGAGCACCAGGGCTGTGCTTTCTTTGGGGACATGCAGCCTCAAACCCCAACTCAGGGCAGTCACACACCCAAAACCACTGTTTCAGCAGAGAGGAAGCTGCCTGCAACGGCATGTGCCAGCACCCGGCTTTCACAATGGGGTGCAACCCCACAGTGAGGGGATAATGGGCGGTGGCACAGAGCCTGAGAGGCTGTGACAGATCCCCAGGGCAGTGCTGGCCCTGTGGATGGGGAGGGACTGCTGAGCTCAGGGTTTCTTGGGGTCAAATCCAGGCGAGGTCTGCCCACAGTCACAGGCACACACTCCTGCTCATTGCCCAGTTCCACGTCCAAGGTCGGATTCTGGCACAGGACTTGCCCCCAGAGACTCACCCTGTGGCTGCTGGCCCTCTGGCCATGCTCTCACAGGTATGGGATGGGGACATATCCCCAGTGTGGGGGGTTGAGTGAAAAGGGGGAGATGCTGCTGCTGGTTGTGGTGCAATAGGGATGGGGATGCCTCTGGTCTGCGTTGGGTGGGGCCCCTGACATCCCAACCCCCTGATCCCCAACCTCCTGACCCCTGACCCCCAGCCCTTGGCTGCCCAGGCAGGTCAGATCGGGTACACTCAGGGCATGCACGATGCTGGGAGCACTGCCAACGTCCCCCCGGCCACCCCGCACAGCCAGGACCCGAGGGGGACACGCCGGGCTCCAGTGGGAGGAGCCAGGATAGAGCTCTGGCCCCAGAGAGTTGGCAGGTCCCTGCAGGGATGGGGACAGCCTCGTCACTGGTCTAGGGACATCCTGTCACCCCGGTGCCAGCACCTGGGGGATGTGATTGGGGTGCAATGGGGTGTCAGGGGATTGCGGGAGGGGACAGTGAGGACTGCGAGTGGAGAGATGGGGTGGATCTGGGGGACGGTGCTGGAGTCAATGGTGAGGGGGCAGAGGGGTTGGGGAGCTGCAGTGAGGCAACGGGGGGCAGCAGTGAAGAGCTGGGGGGCAGGCGAGGAGGTGGGTGAGGGCTGCACGGGGCTGCATGTGGTGAGATGGGGGCTGGGGGCTGCAGGGGGTGTGCACAGGGACGCAGGGTGCTGGGGGAGGCACAGTGTTTCATGGGGTGCCAGGGGACAGCAGGGCATCAGAGGATGCCCGTGTGGGGCTGTGTAGGGGGCACTGGGGGGGGTTGTGCCCTGGGTCAGCCCCGTGGGCCCCAGCCCTGCTCCCCGTGGTGCAGCACCCGCATGCTGCCATCTCGGAGTGCTAAATATAACCCAGTCCCTGGGAGCAGACACTGCAGCATCGCCCTCGGGGTCCATCCTGCACCACAGCCCCCCAGGGACCCCTCCCCGGGGCAATGGAGGTGCCCTTCAGTGCTCAGCACCCCAAGGTGTGGGCAGTGGTGAAGGGAGGATGCGTCGTGCTCCTCCCGTCCCCGTGGGGCAGCTCCGGCCTGGTTCACCCACACATCCATCACATCCCCCATGCAATGTAGAGCAGGGACACGTGCAGGGTCCCAAGTGGTGACAGGGCCCCCCCGGGTGTTTGAGCCTCCCCTCCCTGCAGGCTCCATCCAGTCAAAAATGCCCCCAGCCAGGGCTGAGCTGGCGCTTCTCCTGATGGAGCTGCTCCACTTGGTATAAATAAATATTCCTTGGTGCCACAGGGGCTGGGGGCGACCCACCTGCCTCTGCCTCCTGGTCTGACCTGTTTTGGTGTGCCCTGCTCCTATCCCGTGCCTCGGTACTTTGCCAGAGCAACACATGGCAGCACTGACACCGGGAGTGGCACGAGTGCCCTTGCAAAGCCCAAGCCCAAATCTCTGCCCCCACAGGCACAAGGACATGTGTCCCACGGGCACAAGGACATGTGTTTCCTGCAGGGCTGTGTGGGCAGGGCAGTGCTCACTCCTCACTGACCTGGTTCTCTGTGCAGGAGGAAGGGGAAGGGGGTGGGGGGTGCTGTGTGGTCCCCCACAGCCACAGGCCTGGGGAGGTGCCCACGGTGTGTTTCCAGGGGAGAAGGGCAAAGCTGAGACATGTGGATGGTTGCACAAGCCCAGCATGGCTGGGCAGGAGGACAGGGAACAGCAGTATCACCAGTCCCTCAGCAGGGATGGGCAGGTGGGGATGGGGAGGGGTGACAGCCCAGGGGGGTGATTTGCACAGGGTCTGTGCAGAGCCTTGGTATGGCACCCAGAGGAGCCCAGCAGTGATAAATACAGAGCAGCACATCCCAGGCTATGACCACGGGTGTCAGCACCCCCCAAATGGTATCCTGGGGGGATCTCGAGGGTCTGACAACTCCCTGCCACCCACTACCAGCCCAAAGGTGGCTGAAAGCCTGGAGGCATCCCCATCCCTGTCCCCTCAGGGTACAGGTGCCCCCAAGGAGTGTCAAGGAGCAAGGGAGCAGAGGAGCTGCACTGTGACTCGGGCACTGCCTGGCTGGGACAGGGCCCCCATCTGAGCCCGGCTGCCCAGCCAGAGGCAGAGCCCAGACCCTGCTCAGCCCTGGGACACTCCTGCTCCATGGCAGCCATGGGCAGGTCCCACGTGGGCATGGCCCCAGTGCCGCTCACCACAGGCTCCTCCACCCGTGTGCTGCAGGGACAGAGCTGTGTTTGCTCTCTTATCTGCCTGAAGGGCACGGCCTGAGCACGGGCTGGCACGGCACAGCAGGGGCTGGGAGGTGCCGGGTGGGGTGGGCACCCCTCTCAGGGTGGCTGGGGATCACTGGCTGTGCCCGTCCCCTCCTTGTGTCACCACTGGGCCCCAAGGGGACAATGCTCAGCCTGGACCAAGCACTGAACTCAGCTGGACATGGCTGTGGTACAAATGCAGGTTGTATTTCCAATCCATGCTGGGGAATCCCAGGCTGTCTGTCATGGGTGTGGGTGGCACAGCCCATGGCACAGCCCATGGCACAGTCCTGCTCTGCCTGCAGAGCCCCTCTGGTTCCCAGCCCTGTGCCAGGGATGTTCCCAGTGCAGGAAGGGGTCCCACTCCATCCACCCTTTGCTGCTCCAGTGCCGTGTCTCCTGGTGCCCTGTGGGGCACAGGTGCTGCCCAGCTTCGGGGTTGCCTCCCTTGGCTGTCTGCTCCAGCTCCTCCGCTGCCTCAACACTCCGGGCTCACCGGCAGCGCCAGGTCAGGGTCACAGGCCTGCTTCCAGCTGGCACCACAACCCAACTGCAGCCCCGAGGCAGAGCAGGAGCAGGGCTCCTCTCCCCACACACAGCTCAGCCTGGGGGCACCAACCCAGCGCTATTTATCGAGGATGAGGAAGAGAATCACCATGAGGACGATGGGGAGGAAGATGAGGAGCAAGCTGAGCATCTCTGCCGCCAGCAGCAGCGCCAGGAGCAGGAGGTAGCAGCAGCGGCAGCGGCGCTCCAGCCGCGTCAGCCCGTGGATGAGGCAGGGCGGGTACCGGACACAGGGCAGGCACCCGAACATGCGGCTGGTGTGAAAGCGCACCTGGAAGCGATGCTCGAGGGCACCGGCCAGGCCGGGGCGCCGGGGCGGCAGGGCGGGGGGCCGGGGGGTGGCCAGGGTGCCAGGGGAGCCGGGCTGGGCGTGCAGCAGGAGCAGCTCCTCTTGCAGCTTGCAGATCTCCCACTCCAGCATGGGTGTCTTCTGGCGGCAGATGGGGCAGCGCACGCGGCCGAACTCGGCGCCGGCGGCCGTGTCCATGATGGTGCGCAGGCAGGCGCGGCACAGCCCGTGGCTGCAGTTCAGCAGGGCCGGTTTGTGCCGCTGGTCGTCGTAGGGCTCCGTGCAGATGGGGCACTCATCCTCACTGCCCGCCAGCACGCGGCACGGCTCCATTGCCGCCGCCATCTCATCGCTCGACATCGCCTCTTCCTTGCCAAAGAGGCTCAGGATGGAGCTGGAGGCGCTTTCCATGCTGGGAGACACCCCCCACGGCGCTGGGCTCTCCCTGCGGGGCGGGATGGGGCTGGTGGTGGTGGCAGCAGGAGGGTCCTGCCCTGCAGGTGGCTCATCATGCCCAGGCAGGAGCGGCTCCGTTGCATCCTCCGCTGGCAGTGGGTTCCAGTGTCCCCAGGCAGCAGCAGACGCCTCTCCACAGAGTTGGGGTGGCTCCCCAGGGTCCCCTGGCCCCACAGTCTCACTCTCACCCCACTGCCTGGCACAGCCTTCCCCACTAGCCGTCTGCACAGACTGGGGCCCAGGCTCTGCCTCCTCGCCTGCTGCTGCCTCCATGAGGACAGCAGCTCCAAGGCCACCCCCCTCACCCACCACCTCCCGAGGCCCCTCGGGGCTGGGCGCAGGACGTGGGTGCTGCTCCAGGGCAGCAGGCAGCCTTCAGCACGGCTGCCAGAAGGGTTTGGAGGCAGCAGCATGTGCACAGAGTCCCACCATCCCTCTGGTGCAGTTTGGGGCACCCTCCCAGACCAAAGGGTCAGGAGCCATCAAAGCAGGGTGTACCCCCATCATCCTCACCGACAGAACACCCCAAGAGGGGCATCACCATGAGCATCCAACAGCCTCTTCTTCCTCCTCCTCCTCTTCCTCCTCCCCAGCACCAACGCAGTCCTGACCCGCCACGGTCCGGCGGAGAGGACGCGCTGGGCGCTGCCTGCTCTGCCAGGAGGGGTGCAGGCGTGGCGGGCACCCGCACAGGCAGCTGCCTCCTGCTGCGGGCCAGGCAGGGCTGGGGCCGAGCCTGGCTCTAACCAGTCTGGTTTGTCAGCTTCTGGAAGCGGCTCAAATGCAGCAGCCCGGGGCAGGAAGCCATGCCCGCGCCAATCAGCTCCCGACGGAGCTGGGGAGGAGCCGGGCCCACGACCGCCTCTTCGCCTTGCCCAGCACCAATGGAGCCACCTCTGCGGCCAGTGCTCCCCACACCCCTGCCCCTGGGCATGGCAGCATGGGCCCCTCCAGTACAGCCCCCCAGCTCAGAGACCAGCACAGCCTCCCAGCACTGCTCCTGTGCTCAGCCAGCACAGCCCCCCAGCACAAGCCCTGTGTTCCCCCAGCGCTGTCTCCCCGCTCAGAGACAGTACAGCCGCCCAGCACAGGCCCTGTGCTGCTCCAGTCCAGCTCCCTATCCCCCAGGTCAGTCCCTGTGCTGGGCCATCTCTCCCTGCCATATCCCACAAGCAGTTTGCAGGGCTTGGAAGGAAGTATCCTGCCTGGATGAGGGGATGGTGTCACCAGCATGATGACTGCCATGCAGGAGCTCTGCACTGTCCCCTGGGGCTGTCCCTGGGCCATGGGGACACTCAGTCCAGCCAGGGGCTGCAAGTGCAAGAGCTCCTCAGGGCAAAGTAGAGGGGTGGGGAGCCCCAAAACCACTCTGTTCCCCCTCCCTGTGGTGCCACAGCTCGAGCAATGCCCTGGGGCTCTGCTCTCCCCTGCAAGACCCCATGACTCAGAGCGTGGGAGGGTGGCTGGGTCACAGGTGTGGTGTGGCATCGCTGTCTCTTCCTGTCCCAGCCTGCTCCCAGGGACTGTCCCTGGCTGATTCATGCCCTGGGTCCTAATTGCTATTTACATGGTGGCACCCAGTTTGCTGAACTGGGGGAGGAAGGTGGTGGCACTGGTCCCACTGGGACATTGGCAGGGCCAGGAGGGTGCACAACCCCAAGGCTGCAGGGAAAGGGCTGGAAGCAGCTCCCAGGATGGGGTGGAGGACAGATGCAGCAGAGCAGGGAAGGCAATAACTCAGCAGGAGCTGGCACACAGAGCTCAGACCTCAGCATTAAGCAGGCTCAGGATGATGAACCAGCGGCAGAGACAGAGGGATCGAGGCTTCCTCCTGTGCCTGTCCCTGCTGGCCTTGGCCACTGGAGACAGGGGGAACAGGTCTGTCCAGGCAGCCTCCTCCTGCAGCAAACGCTGCTGACTAATGCCAGGGTGGAGAGACTCCCATGCAACAGTTCACTTCCTCTGGGCCCTGCCATTCCTCTGGGCCACTGCCATTGCTGGCTCCAGCAATGCCCAGCAGTGCTGCCCACCCTTCATGGAGACCCCCGGGGCTGGAGCCCCTGGGACAGCAGATCAGCCAGCAGCATCCCCCTAGAGACCCCTGACCTCTGCTCCAGCGGAGATTGGGCATGGGGAGCCAAACAGCCCCCCAGGAGACAGCCCCCTCCCACCCACCTCCCACCCTGCTGCCATCAGGGAAGGGCTGGTTGGGTAAATCCACCCCCTCGGACAGGCCTCTGCCCAGGCTGGGGTAACCCCAGCCCAAGGAAGATGCCAGAGGCAGATCACTGTGCTGGCTTCTTTATTCAGACAGTTTGTGGGGAAGGGGGAGGCAGGGAGCCAGGCTTAGGACCAGGTTTCAGACTGGAAGCGCTGGGACCGTTCCAGGGCTGATAAATGCTCCTCTGCTTCCGAGGGCGACAGGCCACCCTCCAGCTGCAGCACTGACTGCAGGGCCTCGGCCACCGCCACCGGCATCTGCTTGGCATTCCTGGGGGACAGAGCAGGGGCACAATGCAGCGAGAAAGGAAAACCAGGGGCAGCACCCCAGTGCTCTGGGATCAGGGGGCAGCAGGGCAGTGAGAATCTGTCTCACCCTGCCACATGGGCTGCCTGGCACGGGATAAATGACAGGCTTGTCATCCTACCCCTCCCTCGAGAGCAGCCCCATTATCCACAGGGCTTCCCAGTGCAGGCATTTGCAGTACCCAGTCCTCAGGGAAGGAGCATCACAGCTCGGCAACCTGAACTGCAGCCCCACATGGCTCCATTTGCTAGCATCCTCATTAGAGGGACACAAGGAATATGCATAGAGTTGGAATTTATTGGCAGGAGGGCAGGAAACTGTCCTTTCATCTCAGGAATCACTCAAAGTCAAACATGTCTGATCCTGAGCTGGGTAAGACACTGCTGGGAAGGAGCAGCCGCTCCCGTCCTGCTGCTGCCAGCTCTCAGGAAATCCAAGATGATTGGTTTGATGGTGACATTTGGAACTGAAGCCAGTTCAAACCTCAAAATAAGAGAAATAGAGGAGAAGACACGAGCCCCTGTGCAAAAAATACCCAAATAGAATTCAATGCTTTCAAGCACAATTATTTCTTAGGGGAAATCAGAAATTCAGACTTTTTTTCCTGGATAGAGTTTCATTTGATGAACTGCCTGTGCGACAAAAAAAAAATCTAATAAAAAATTTCCCAGGCTGCTCCAATTGGCACGAGCATCTGGCAACGTCCTTGCTGTTTCCCAAGAACAAGGCAGAATTCTGACTTGCTGTTTGAAGCTGATTAACATCCCAAAATACCCAGAAAGGAGGTCTTCTTTTTTTGGAAGAGTCTATTGTTTCTGAGTCAGGCAGTGATATGCAAGTACAAGATAATGGAGCTGGGCTTTGTGATGGAAAACATGTCAAATAGCTATTTTTTTCAGAAAAAGAGAGACATTTTCAACCTTTTTGCCCCTGGGCAAGACAAGCTGGGAACAATTCTGTAGCAGATACAGCCCTGGCTCCCCAGAGCTGGCCTGGCTGAAGGCAGACATGCCCCAGGGACACTGCTCAGGGACACACAGCTCAGGACTCACTTTATCTTAGTCTGGCTGAAACTCTGAATACTGTTTTTAGGGGGGAAAAGGCCATTTTTGGGCTTGCCCACCTGCACCTTCCTGTCTGGCACCCCACAGGCAGTTCAGAATCTGTGGGCCAGGAAAGAGAAGGGTGATCCTAGGAGTCTTTCCACATAGTGTGGGTTGTTCAGTAGCGGAGGGACAGTGCCCTCTGCAACTGGACACTTGTACAGGGAGGACAAGGATCCCACCTGCCTGATGGGGACTGAGGGACACCCCGTGCTAGGGACAAGGCCCTCAGCCTCAGAGCAACCCCGACACCCAAAACACCATCCTCACGGCCCCCCAAAATCCTGCCATAGGGACAGTTGTACAAGCCCTGTTCTTTCCAAGACATTGATCCTCTTTTGGGAGCCCCCAGGGTATCTCTGTCAGCACCAGAAAGTAGGGAATAGGATCAAAGAAGAACAGTAGGAAAGGGGATGGAAGAAGGACCCAACAGCTGCCCAACAGTCTCAGCATTTGGGCTGTGGATGGTGGCACAACTCACGTCCCAAGCGCACCAAACCTGAAGCCCAGATCCAAGGGTAGGAGGGCCCAGTTTGGGGTAAGGGCCCAGGAAGCCCTGCAGTGCAGCGAGGCCCAGCAGCACAGGCAGCAGTGCAGGCAGCAGTGACAGACAGTGTGGCGGGAGACCTGGCCTCCACTTCCGGGGCAGTAAACAAGAATCTCCCTCTCCCAGGAATGCAGCAAGGCCAGTCTGGCCCCACGAGGCGCCAGGGAAGTTCCTGCTGTTGCACAGGACAGGCAGGAAGGAGCCTCCTGCAATTGCTGCTTGTGTCGACAGCAAGGCTCAGGTTTGCACAGCCCTTTCCAGGTCACGGGGTGCACCACAAACACCATCAGCAGCCTCTTGCCAGCTCAAGAGCCCAAAGCATTTCACAACCCTCACCCTGGGCAATGGGGAGCAGTCCCCTCTCCTCCCTGTTGTGCAGGGAGTCACGAGGGCAGGCAGGTCAAGGGCTCTGCCCAGGAAAAGAGGCACAGAGCTCAGAGCAGAGCTGCCAACGCTCTGCCTCCAAAGACCAGACTCCACCTTTGGCCAGCAGTTCAAGATGTCCAACTAGTCCAAGACAACCACCTGGAGAATGACTGTGCTGTCAAAGGAGACTGGTTGTGGTGCCAGTCTTGTCCCTGCCCCGGGAGGCAGTTTTGCGTGTGAAGAGCCAGACAGAACATGCTGGGGGTCCCAAAGCTGTTGCTCTGGAGCCCTGGTATATTATGCTTTCAAAGCCTTCTGCCCACATGAGTGGCCATGGGCATCACACAACCCTTTTCTCTGATTTCAAGTGAGAAACAACCCTCTGAGCCCAGGGCTTACAGAGCAGGACACA